TCCGAGTCTGCAAGTTTTGGTGTGTATGGTTATCGTTTTGTGTCATCCTTTCTTTAGCCTCAGGATGGTAAAACAGCCGATCAAAAGGACATACATGTACTAGAAAACATAATAATAATAATAATAATAATAATAATAATAATAATAATAATAATAGATTATTACGCAACTGTAATCTGCTACAAAAAAGTGAAAATGGTGTAAAATAAAATATACTAAGTACTACAACTAAAAATAACTACAAATAAATCGGTAAGTAATAAAAATATATATCGGCCGCCATTTGCCACTGATTTTTTTTCTGGAAGCCGTGGCATTCTGATATATTAAAATGTGTCTTTGTGTCGTTAAAATCAATATATTAAAGTAATAATAATATATTAATTATGCGTAATGTAATTATAATGAATAATGAAATATAATCAATAAATTAATATAACATTAAGAAATACATAACTTCAAATTTCAAGTTCAAACGTGGGTCGTGCATAAATTTATTCACCATTAGGTAATACTGTGGGTTACCGTCCCTCAAAACAAAGCTTCGTCCAGATTATTTATTCCTTACAAAATGTCGTAATCCAGACGTACGTCACACACACTTCTTAGCTACGCCCCTTTCAACATCATGCTGTTAAAACCCGGCGAGTGGTGGTGCTATTCACGGAGTAGAAAATTACACTGTCTCGTTCTTCGATCACACATTTCACGGCCTCTCGCTGTAATGACTCAATTCTTGATCACTGTATGATTTCTGAAACGACCTTGCTTCCGTATTCACGGTACTAATTTAAAAATAAACGCGCCAGGAGAAATCGCATAGTCCAGTGCCACCAACTGTGTCCAGGATCACTTCACAGATGGACGGTCAGCTGGACTGAGACGAGAGTGAATTAGGAAGAAACACGAGTAGGCTGATGAATTGCAGCAATAATCCAAAGCTTCACACCGGTTACATCGCGTTTCATCGAACACGTCTGTGATTTATTCTGAATACTCCACACAACTTCATGGACCTGATTCTTCGCGTGGCTTCTAAATCTAGTGAGAGTGAACATTAATCTATTGGAAATCACGGGTGGAAATAGTGTATTTCTATTTTGAAGAACCTCTCGGAAT